TGGGACCTGCTGTGTGTGGGATGTGCGGAGGGGACAGGGCTCCTTGGGGACAAAAGTGGCATCTTGCTGCTTCCCATCCCTTCAAGGGCTTGAAGCAAAGGGCTTGTGTCAGCCACACCAGGGTGGGGCGTGAAGCAGTGGCACGTGGCATGTGTGCGAGGCATGGAGATCCATCCCATGGGAGCAGGGCAGCCAGAGTGGGGTGCTGGGATGAGGTGGTTCAGGGGCAAAGCTGGAGACACGTGGGCTTGAAAAGGCTGAGCCTCTGCGCAGCTGGTCCAGCCTCTCTGTGCCCACATGGTCCCCTCTCTTGCAGGAGTTACAGAATTTGGCCACCAAGCACCCCAACCTGGTCATCATCCCACTCGGTAGGTGCCCCAAGGGGGTCATCCCTCGCCTCGGTTCCCCTCCCTCCCTGGGACCACGGCCCCTGCAGCCCTGGCATGTGCCCAGGTGCTGGGCACACTCTGGGAGCCCAGTGCCGGGAGGTGCCTGTGGGGACATTGGGTGCTGCCATCCCTGGGGGGACACAGGTGGCTCTAAGCCCCCACGGGGACGCGGGCACTGACCTCCCCTGTGCCGGCTCTGCAGAAGTCACCGCCCCCGGGTGCTGCCATCCCTGGGGGGACACAGGTGGCTCTAAACCACCATGGGGACGTGGGAACTGACCTCCCCTGTGCCGGCTCTGCAGAAGTCACCGACCCTGCCAGCATCAAGGCAGCTGCAGCCAGAGTTGGGGAGCAGCTGGGGGGCTCAGGGCTGAACCTCCTCATCAACAACGCTGGAATGCTGATATACAACACACTTGGTAATGAGACATGGGAGAACATGACACGGATTTACACCACCAATACGATTGGGCCCCTGCTGATGAGCCAGGTGAGACCCTCACCCCAGCTGGGCTGTCCAGGGGGCATGAAGGGCAGATGGGAGAGGATCCTGCCTTCACTTTGGTGCCTGATGGGCTCTTAATTGGAAAAAAGCTCATGGAGCAAGGTCTGGATCTCAGGACCTCAGAGGGCTGGGGCAGTGGGAAGATGAGGGACGATGCTCCAGTGCTGGTGCTAACATTGCCCACTGTGGAAGGAGCTGGTCCTGTCCCGTTTCACCCCTGTGTGTGCCCCTATCTCCTTTCCTCCCTCCTCTCCTCTTTTCTCCTCGCAGGCGTTCCTGCCCTTGCTGAAGAAGGCTGCCCAGGGGAGTGCAGGCTCAGGGCTGAGCTGCAGCATCATCAACAAGCTCCGCCGGCTCCATTGAGGAAGTCTATTTGTGGGATCAGGCACATGTTGTCTCTTACCGATGCAGCAAGGTGTGTGCTGTGCTGAATATGGGTTGAACTCCCTTTTCTCAGCAAACAACTGCCAAAGCCCCCCACTGTGTCCTCCCTCACTTCCCTCACCTCTCTGCACTGTGATTGAGCTCCTGTCAGTCACTCGGTCCCTTTGACAGCACATTCCTGTGCCTGGCCCCAGGGTGGGGGGTCTGCAGATGTCCCCTTGCAGCCACCCTCCCCTCCCACCACCACCCCTGCCCTGTCTCCCCGCAGGCTGCCCTGAACATGCTGACCAAGTGCCCGTCCCTGGGGTAACGGGAGCACGGCATCCTCTGCCGTGGTCTGCACCCCC